CGGCGGGAGCGTGTCCCTGCCCCTGCGGCCCCGGGAGCGTGTCCCTGCCCCTGCGGCACCTGGAGCGTGGCCGTGTCCCTGCGGCGCCTGGAGCGTGTCTCTGTCCCTGCGGCCCCGGGAGCAGCGGGAGGCGCGGGCCCCGTAAGTACGAGCTCCGTCTGCAGAGCGGGGCAGCGCGGTGAGGGGCTGCCCGTCCTGAGGGCGAGCGGTGGAATTGCGGGGCCGGGTGTGGAAGTGAGCGCTGGGGGTAACGAATGCCCGGCCGGTGCTTCGGTTTGGGGTCGTTAGCGAAAGGGGTTGGTTTAATTGCACCTCCTCGGACTTGGAGCATCTGATACGTGGCCGAAACTGGGTCGGCTTGTGCAGCTCAGGAGTTACAGGGAGAACCCCTCATGGACATCGCAGGCAGGATTTGAGGCTGTGATCGTACAAGTAAGTCTGCCGGGACATAATGTTCATCATAGTATAGCTTTACTGAAATAATTAGGAATAGTTACATGTTTTAAAATTACGTACTCAGTAGAAGTACTTACTGTACTCGGGCTCGGGCATTATAAGTCAGGAGAACGTCTGCAATGCACTTTTAAAATTTTTGCATTTTAAGTATGGCTTTGGATGGTTTTGTATTACAGTAAATGCAGTACCGGGTGTTAATTTCTCCATTTCACACGTGGAAACCGGAGCACCGGCAAGTGACGCTCTTCACTAAACATTTTCTCGCTGACAGGATATAAATTATTTCATTTGCTGCTCCAGATGTTAATTTGGAAGAGCCAGAATAGTGAATCAGTGAGCTTGAAAGGAAACTTGTACAGGTTCACGGAAATAGTTGTTTGATGAAAATACTCCAGGTGATGATAGAAACAACTACCTGAAAAGAGGTTGTAGCCAGCTGGGGGTCGGTCTCTTATCCCAGGAAACCAGTGACAGTACAATAGGACACAGTCTTTAAGCTGTGCCAGGGAAGTTAGACTAGACATTATGAAAAAATCCTCCATGGAAAGACTGATTTGGCACTGGAATGGGTTGCCGGGGAGGTGGTGGAGTTGATATCCCTGTGTTTAAAAACAGACTGGATGTGGCACTTAGTGCCATGGTTTAGTTGATAAAGTGGTGTTAAGTCATAGATTGGACTTGATGATCTCAAAGGTCGTTTCCAACCTAGCTAATTCTGTGATTCTGTGAAATGTGTTTGCAGGTGTTGAGGGGAAGCAGAAGTGGGGCTACTAGCACGAGTATTCAAGTAGGTTTTATTTCTGAATCGTGATATAAATGCTTTTAAAATAGAGCTCTGATAAGATTTGAAACCTTGTAGATGTTAAGATTTTCACGGCAGTTTGGTAGTAATAAAGTAATAAAAAAAAAAGGAGTTACAAAAAGGAGAGTATGTATGTTCAGTTTCTTACTAATGCTTGCTTGTCTCCTGTGGATTTAACATTTTTTCTACCCCTTCATTTAACAGCTGTGGAAGTTCCCAAGGCACAGCTGAGGCAGTTTACAAGACCATTTTCAACAGAAAGGTTTAGAGAAAAAGGTGAAAGTTTGATGTCTTTGAGATAGCTACTATTAAAAGAACCAGAAGAAATAAACTTTGGGATCAGTTTGCAGTCTTCAACTTAAATATTTACACTTTCTGTCAGTAAAGTTGGTAGCTATTTGAGATGCTCTTTCTCTAAATATTTGTTTTCTTTTCCAACTCAGTGTTGATTATGTAAGTCTTCTGTTGTTAATTACATACATGATTAAATTTAGAATACTTAAAAGCACAACTTTGGGGTTTTGTATTATACTTTCTCGCTGCTCAACTTGGATAATGTTTCATGATGCTTTCTTTTACATTGTGAAGTATTTTTATACTTCCTTTAGGTATGATTGATCCTGATTTTGATTGATGTGGGTATTTGTGAAAGCTGTGTTTCATTTGCACAAATACATTTCAGTTAGAAGACATTTGCTACTTCAACTTTTCAAAGCTTGAGTTTTTGTTTCTCTCTTTGTTTTGAGTTGGCATGTCCTTCTCTTTGAAATAATATGTAGGAGAAAAATAGAAGTTGAGGGGTGCTTGAGTGCTGGCTTTCTATTATATGATTTGAAGTCTAAGTTACCTGTATGAGTTTGGTAAACTTGACTTTTGTTAGTTTGAAGGAGGTGTGCCTGGAGATTCTGTAGCTGGTCAAATGACTCAAGAATTTGGTTAAAAACCAATTTTTTTTTTTTGTAAATAGCTGTTTTTTTTTTTTGTTGTTTTTTTTTATTGCTTCAGAGACTGAAGGTTTTGCCCTGCATATAAATGGGACCTTGAAAATATTGTAAAATTATGGGAGAGAGCTTCCTTCACTTTTTTTCTTTATGGCTTTCAACATATTTAGGGTGTTTTGTAAGTATTTTGTCTTTTTGTTTGAAGTGCTGTGGCAGGCCTGCAAGTAACATGCCTTACAGCTACAATTGGGTCATCCTGGTGTTGTGAGAGCAACAGCTGGGTAATATTTATTTGTCAGGCAATGAATTGTGGGATAAAGCTATCATGTATTATAACTCAAATAATCCTTTTATACTGATACAATGGTGATTGAAAATGTGTGCAGTTACAAGTAATAGCAATGTATTTGGATCTGATGTTTGTGGGGCATTAGCAGCACTAATCTTGTGCTTCCCCTCAGTCTTCAGTCCTGTAGTTGACTTCTGAACTCTTGTATCTAATTTTATTCATCAGTGAGATGGGAAGGGGGTAAGACCTGCACAGTAGTGAGAAGTGAAGGGTTGGAAAGGAGCCACTTCCCCCTGCTCTGTTTCTGAGTTAAGTATCATCCTTCTTGACCTTCTTTCTTCTTCCTGGGAAGAGAGAGAGAGCCTGTAGACTGCTTGGTTGGAGAGGCAGGAGCACTTTAGTCCTAAGAGGGTAGGACAGAATGAACCCAGTCACATCTCCCTTAATTCTTCAGACTCCCAAGCAGGATCTGGTTAGGTGGGGGAAGAAAATTAGTAACTGAGTGTAAGAGTGATAAGCTGTCTCCCTCTGCCTGAAGTTTTACTGAGCTGCTTGTTCTAAAGGTTTAATAATATCCTGACTCTCAGGACTATATTTTTCAAATCACTTCTGCAAGCACTTGATGAAAAATTCTTATTGCAATGTTGTACTAGTTTTGAGCTCCAAAATACTATTCTAGGCCATAACACTTCCAAAGGGTTTGAGTTAGAGCTTTTAAATTGTATGTTTGAAACTTTTCTACGGCATAAAAATCCATCTGCAGATTGGTTGAAAACTGGCATAGGTGTAAATTGTGTTTTAACATGGAAAAAAATCCCCTACATTTGATAGTTTGACAAAGTCATGCCATCTGTACAGCTTTTTGATGGATGTCTTTGCAGTAGGCCCTGAGAAATTTTAATCCTTACTGGGATAAGACTGTAAAAATAATAAACAAGTAGATCTGTTCATGCCTAAGGAAGCTTTAGCTGGAACGTCTTTGGTGTAGTTCTTATGCTGAAGCATCTTCATGAGAAACAAATAATGAGATTCTGTTCTCAGTTGCTTTCATATTACATGTTCAACTCTGTTAATTTTCTTTTTTTTTTTACAACTTTGTTCACAGATACTTGTTAACTGAAAATTATAGATTTATTAAGTAGCCATGGGCCTACACTGCTTCTGTATTGCTTTAGCTATCTGTGGTTGACTCTTTCATTTTAAAAAATGTATTGTGATGCCAAAGTAAGACTATGCAATATTGTAATATAGTAGTTTTCTCAGATGTTATTTTATTATGCAGGACAGAGTTGAGTGAGGATTTTGACCAGGAATGTGCTGAAGTGTTTTTGTAAAGTGTCAAGGCCTCTGACATCTGTCATCTATACTGACTGATGCCACTCCAGCAAGGCAGCAGCTGCCAGAAAAAAACAGGGTATTGCTGAGTTGAGTCGTGACCCGAACATTCCATTACACATGAGGTTCCTGTGTTCACAGAAACCTGTTTTATTAAGTATTTTTTTCAGGATATTTCACTCATCTTGGATGGGAAGGTGTTTTTAAAAAGTGCTTGTATTCCTTAAAAAAAAATATTTCTGTGGTAAGCATTAGGGAGTGATGGGCTGTGCCAGAACTGTTTGCTGTATCCCTCACTCCGTCGCTTTGGCTGGGCTCAGGCTGACAGTGCCGTGTCTTACAGTGAGGTCAGTGGCTCAGCTGTAGTTGTGTAACAAGAAGGGCCATTCATAAATGTGTTTCTTGGCCTAGAGACGCTAGATTGCATTTCTTAGCGTAGCATCAGAGTTCACTGTGCCTCAGGAAAGTGAAAACTGTGCTGCAGGATTGGAGTAGCACCTGCTCATTTGCTGTGTCTGGGGAGAACTCTCACCTGAGTCTGCAGTAGTCAATCTCATGTTATAGCAGGCAGAGCTGCCTTGAAGGAAGCTGCAGCCTGTGGAATCCTGGCCTGGATCAGCAATAGTGTGTCCAGCAGGATTAGGGTAGTGATTGTCCCCCTGTATTTGGTACTAGTGAGGGCACAGCTTGAGTCCTGTGTCCAGTTCTGGGCCCTTCACTGCAAGAAGGACATTGAGGTGCTGAAACCAGTCCAGGCAAGGGCAGCAGAGCTGGTGAAGGGTCTCGAGCACAAGTGCTGTGAAGAGCAGCTGAGGGAGCTGGGGTTGTTTAGCCTGAAGAAAAGAAGACTCAGGAGAGACCTGACCTCTCTTTAGAACTACCTGAAAGGATTGTTCTCTTCTCCCAAGTAACAATCAACAGGACAAGAGGAAATAGCCTCAAGTTGCACCAGGAGAGATTAGATTAGATTAGATATTGGGAAACATTTCTTTATGGAAAGGATTGTCAAGCCCTGGAGCAGGCTGCCCTTAGAAGTGGTTGAGTCACTGTTCCTGGAAGTATTCCCAAGACTTGTAGATTTGGTGCCTAGGGACATGGTTTAGTGGTGGGCTTAGCAATGCTGGGTTAACAGTTGGACTCGATCATAGACGTGTTTTCCAAACTAGATGATTCTACAATTCTGTGGCCTGCATTCCTTGTCCCCCTGCACTGTTGTGGGTTGGTGAGTGGATAAGGTGGGAATGAATGAGTGAAGCTAAGCCTGGGAAGAAGGAAGTGGAGAGGAAGTGTACTTTTTGTCTCCCACCATCCTACTCAATTTTTAATTGAGAACAAATTAATTTTCCTCAAGCTGAGTCTGCCTTGTCAGTTGGTAAGTGACCTCTGAGTATTTACCTCCTCTTCTTCTGTTCAGGTGTGGTAGAATGAGAGTCTAGCAGCCAGAAAATCAGGAGTACACAGTCGGAGGACAATGGACTTCACACATACTGGTGCTCAGTGACTGCTGCATTTGTCTAATGCATTCCCTGTGGAGACAGTTGTTATTGATCATAAACCAGAGCAGGCTGGAATGTGGGGATAGCACTCCTTGTTCAGGGTAATGTTGAGTGGAAGAACAATGGTATCCCTGTTAAGGATATGCAAGATAATGAGACACTCCTATTCTCTGTCTTGCATGTTAAAAATGTGTGGAAGTTCCTCTTTCAGTGCTTTTCTGCTGTGATGTTCTCTTTGTAGGAAATGAAATTATTTTATTTACATGCTAAGACTTTCCTCATTTGCATAATTGCAGTCGCTTCTTCTGTGGTGCCCACACTCCTGGAGACAGTAAGTTGTGTAAGCTAAAATATCCAGGCTATTGCCCTGGTTTCAGCTGGAATAGGGTTAATTTTCTTTCTAGTAGCTGGTACAGTGGTGTGTTTTTTTAGTATGACAATAACGCTGATAACACAGGTATGTTTTGGTTTTTGCTGAGTAGTGTTTACCCCAAGTCATGGACTTCTCAGTTTCCCATGTTCTGCCAATGAAAATGCTGGAATGGCACAAGAATTTGAGAGGGGGCACAGCCAGAACAACTGACCCAAAATGGCTGAAAGAATATTCCATACCAAATCAGCTGAGGGGAAGGCTGGTCAGGGGCAGCTGCTCAGGGTCTGGCTGGGCATTGGTGAGCAATTGCATCATATCCATTATATATTCTAATTATCATTAATATCACAGTTATTCTAATTTTTATTTTATTCCTTATCTGTCTTATAAAACTGTTTTTATCTCAGCCTGTAAGTTTTCTCACTTCTAGTTTTCTGATTCTCTTCTCCATCCCACTGCTGGTGGGGAGTTGAGGGAGTGGCTGTGTGGTGTTGCCAGCTGGGGTTAAACCACAGCAGTTATTTCCTGGTGTGTTATGTATTCTTTTATCTTCCTTTTTAGTTTGTAATTCAGGGAGTTGGAGCTGCCAGTACCTTTGTTCTTTTATATTGAGTATCAAGCAGTTAGCAAGTTATAAAGGGTGTAGAGTCAGCACATCTGTGTATCTCTTTGTACTCTTGACATAACTGGAGTATTTGAGGTGGTAGTGGCTATTACTGTAAATCAGGCCCCACAAGTGCACCTTGGTCTGTTTCTTTTTAACTCATATGTTTCCTCTTTAAAATTGCCTGGTTCCAGGCAGTTTGTAGAACGTTGCCAGTCGTTGCCTGGAAATATCTATT